TAAAAGTAAAATTTTATTGGAAATGTAGTTGTAGGTGAATGAATTTCTCAGTAAGTTTATTTAGCCCAAGATCAATAATCCTTCCTACTGAAATGAGACAGGTTCAGCAACAGTCCTATTTCCAGTTTTTTTCCAAAGCTATAGGTTCTAATAAAACTTATTCAACATAAATAAGTTGTAAAAGGAAAAGAATTGTTATACAAATGTTACTTAAGTCTTCCAACGTCTCTTGAATTGTATACTACTGTGGTCTGAATGTTTGTGTTCCCCCCAAATTCCTATGTTGAAACCTAACCTTCAATGTACTGGTATGCGAGGTATAGCATCTGGGAGGTGACTAGGTCATGAGGATTGAGTCCTCTGGAATAGGGTTAGTGTCCCTACAGAAAAGGCCTGAGGGAGCTTATTTGCCTTTCCTTCTACCATATGACGACACAGCAAAAAGGCACCTCTACGAAGCAGAGTGAGCTCTCACCAGACACCAAATCTGCTGGTGCTTTGATCTTGGACTTCCCACCCTCCAGAACCATGATCAATACATTTGTGTTGTTCATAGATCACCCACTCTAAGGTATTTTGTTATAGCAGCCCAAATGAACTAAGGCATATACTAAGAGCAATATAGTAATTTATCATCAAGAATTATTTTGAACGATCTACCAGCTGGTAAGTCTTCCTTCAATTGTGATAAAAGCAGAAAGTTGAAAACTCCCTGAGCCAGGGGACGTGAAGCTGGTAGGTAGAGCACTTCCTGGTCTCAATGCCAGCATTTGCACAGCCTTTGTCTGGCTCCCCAGACAGTTCTCACACTATGGGACAAAGTAGGGTGGTAACATGTGGGATGGCAGGAGTGGGGAGAATGCCTTTCTTTTGAAAAGTAGGAGAAGGACAATTGTGAAAGAGGAAGTGAGAACCTTAACCAAAGACCCATGTTCAGACAGAGCAATTCTGTGAAAGAATATACATGGCAGCAGAGAACCTGGAAATTGATTCCTTTAATTAATTTTCCAAGTTGCTCATATATGTCTTGAGAATCTTTTTGTCTCTCAATGGTCCCCACGTGCCTCAGTTTGAAAACCTCTGTCTTGAATGAGCTGTCAAAGGTTAAAAACTGCTTTGTTCACTGTTTTACCAGAAACAGGCCTCAAATGACCATGTGCCTTATCCCATGCGTCCATCTAGCCCACAAACAAGCCACAGAGGAGTTGCAGAGACTTTTATTACTGTTCTCCTGCCTGAGATGCAACTACTAAGACACAGTTGAGCAGAGCCCCCAACTCACTGTCAGCCCCACGTTAATGGCAGTGTACACAGTGCTCTGCAGCTCACGAAATGCAGTCACAAGTGTCATCCACAACTATCTATGAGGGTTTTCTTTGTTGCAACTACCTGTGTTAAGAACACAAAAGCTTTTGTTTCAACTGAGCTTTCAACTGTACCAAACAAAAATACCTCAACACTCAGAACAGCATCCTGCTACCCTATCTTCTCAAAAATTAATGGCTGTCATCATGTGGGAATAGATAGGAGAGTGTGTTTCTTTTTAAGTCTATCACTATTACAAAAAAAAAAAAAATAACCAAAACAAGCCAAAGCGCTACGCCACTAAAACATATGTAGAGAACAACAGCTTTAGATCACCTACATGGGAAGCTTCTGCAGAGGTTCTGTGCCTTTCAAAGGACATGCTTTATTTTCCCCATTGTTATTCTCAGGAAGGAAGCGATCTCTATGGCTGCATCAGAGTGCCACCTCTGCCCAGCTGCCTGGGGGCA